CATGAATGCACCGGACGTCTTATCCTTTAGGCTATGACGACTTCATTGAATTGAAATTCTTAGAATAGTGCGCCTTCTTATTATGTTAGCGTCCGCTTAGTGTTGATTAATTAAATATATAATATAAGCCCTTAATCAATACAAACTGAATTTTATAGTCATATGATTACGTATCTTATTCTAATTTCAATGTCCCTTCTTGCGTATTCCTCAGAGCTGAGGGTCGTGACCTTTACGGAGTAGGTACTTTTGTTCAGACTACATTCCTCCTGTCATTCCAATCCTCTCTAAATAGAGAAATTAATGTTAGAGTTCAATGTCGTCTTAATTTCAATGTTAAAATGAAATTAAACAATCCTTAAACCCAAGACCATTTCCCCAGATGAGCAATAAGGTTGAGATTTCATTGCATAGATAAATGGCAGTAGCCATCATAGAACACAAGATATTACATAGACGCCTGAATCTTGCTAACGACATTTTAAAGATAAGTATAAATATTATATAATAAATATTTGAATTTGAATTTGAATACAAGTTCCGAACACCAACAGTCGAACCGTCGGTCTACCGAGCAATTTCACTTGCTTGTGAAAAATGTCCACTTTGTCTTTACTACCAAAGATATATTATACAAACTTCAAACCGGAATTCACGAATTTTTCGGAGCCAGAAATAGAAATGGCTACCCGTGGGGGCTTAAGCTACACCCTGTACCAGTAGAATAGGGGGATTTTAGGGGTAGGTAAAAGAGTAAGCTGTGTGATGTCGACAATGCTTAGCACCACCATCGCCTAATACAAGTGGAAGCCTTCACGTTGTCAAATCAGTGGGCTTTAGTAAGCTCGTTCACCCGTGTATGCATAAAAGGTAGAATGCTAGAGAACTATAGACAAAGCTCGATTAATTTTCAGCTAACAAAATATTAGTAAATATTTATTGTCATTAATTACATAATAGTGTATAAACTTTGTTTGGAATAAAATTAACGTTTGCACTTTTGCAATTTCCTAATAAATTCTATAATTATACTTACTTATATTATTACCATAATTCTATATAATATTTCTTCTTTTGTTTTGCGAATGTCTGGATTTATTGAAGTAAAGAAATCACTAGATGATGACCGAAGTTTGCACGGTTTTTTTTAATAACGCCATTGTGTCTATAAAGCGGTTAGTTGCCCTCAATTAAGATGTCGGGAAGAGTTGATTATTGAAAACACGAATAAAACAACATTTTCTGAAAATAAATCGTAGCTAGATCGATTTATCGCCCCCGAAATCCCCTGTATACTAAATTTTATGAAAATCGTTGGAGCCGTTTCCTAGATTCAGATTATATATACACAAGAATTGCTCGTTTAAAGGTATAAGATAATGCCGGTTTAACTTTTTAAAATTTTCTCTAAACTAGGAAGTGATAATAGTTTTCAACAGATCAGTGAGTAAAATTGTTATTTAATTGTTAAAATCAGCATGGAAAGTCTATTGAAAAAATTTCGAATCGAGTACACGGAGCTGACACTTGTGCGAGGGATTGGGGACGCGCCACCCGAGTCGAGTTGGAAAATGTTCAACAACATCATAAACGATTTTAAGTCTGAGGAGAAAACTGGTACAAAAATTCTTTTTTTTTTTTTTCCTTATATTACCGTTTTAACTTGTTAAGAAGTAACGTGGATGACGAAAATCTTGAAGTTAGGCTTAAAAACATAATAGATGTCGTTACATCTATAAACCTTCGACATTTATGACATACATTATTCGATATTTAGGTAGGTATGTGAAAAGTTGGAATCTATCGTTTCTAAACCGATGTTCTCAATTCGACTATATTTAATCGACTACAAGTATATTTAATTTGTTGTTATTTGAGAGCCGGTGCTTCTCATGTGGTCTAAATTATATCAAGATCTGATCAGTGCTTTTTGAATTATCCTTAATAATAATGGATTTCTAATTGACTTCAACTATTAGTTTTTGTTTCAAAAAAAGACGACGGCATAGCAGTATAGAGATAAATTGTACGATACAAAAAACTGTCTAGCTTTTTTCCTTTTTTGTTATGAATTAAGCAATTCCCGATCAGACAGTCGCTGTGTTATTCAACGGTGATTTCCACCTCATAACTCAGTGAATGAAGCGACACCATTCAAGTAGGTATGTAATGTCTATGGACTCGTCTACATTAATAAAAATAATATAGTAATTTCTTTTATTGCCATTGTAAGGCAGCCCAGCATACGGTCCACACGATAGTGAGTGGTTACCGCTGCTCATGGACATCAACAATTCCAGGGCCATTACCAATCGGCTTATATATATTATCCACCGAATGTAAAATGTGTAGCTTTAGCAAAATGTAATGTACATACTTTCATAACACATGAAAACTTGATGCAGATATTTTAACATCGGAAGCCGAGTTGAAGAGTCAGTACAGTAAAACAAGCAGGCATTTGCGACTACGAAATCTTCTGTTGCAACATTCGACAAAAGCCGCTATCGTCATCATTACTCTGCCATTGCCGAGAAAGGTAATTTACAATTAAGGTCCTATATGCCAGTATCTAGAGGCAATTTTGGATTCAAATTGACTGGTGGGCGAGCTCAGATGACTCAAAGAAAGCTCAAAGCTTAAAGCCTAACACAATTTACTAATATCAGCCCTAAAGAGCAGTCAGTGCTTCGCTGTATGCCAGGGACATTTACAAAAATATCCCGTGAATGCGCAGTCGAAGACCTTACCAATAATAGTCCTGCTATTGATCAGAATACAAGACTGATGTGGCATCAGCCTCGTCATGTTGTTATTCTTTCATCAATCGCTTTTATTTTGAATAATGAATTTGTCTAGTTTTGTTTTGCGCACATGTATTAACGAAACTTTGTGCGTACTGTATTTACCATTGACCTTGTTTTCTTATCACTCCCCAATTCTTCTCTTTGCTACATTTAAGTATGGACCTCTCCTACTTATTTTGATATCTAAATTACAAACATTCACCGTTTGGTTGGCTCTATGGTCATTGTACATACTCACTATACCCACGTATAGAAACGAAGTTACGGAGATTTTGCTAGTACGATTTTGAAGACAAGTTTGCGCGTTCACTGCGAAGAAATACTCTTTGTCATGGTGCCACAATTCCAAGGAGTATCCCTGCAACCTTCCACGAGTATTGGGATACTTGGGGTCGACATTTCGAGCGATGTCCAATTTCGGAGTCATTAAATAATTTGGAGGGCAAAACCAAGTTAGCGTCCAAAATGCTGGGAGTCCTCAACAGAGCGAAGCGGTACTTCACGCCTGGAGAAAGACTTTTGCTTTATAAAGCAAAGCGTTCTCACGGACCGTTCGTAATCTCTGGGTCTGCGGGGACGCTTCGCTTCTTCCTGTATTTTGTACCGTATGTTCCATGAAAAGTGCTCTGAAGAATTGTTTGATAATCCCATAATCTCATTGTTACCATCGCACCGCCCGCCAACGGAGTAGACTTTATCCATACTACTCTCCACGGTATTTCCCGAGCGCTATGACTTGTCTTCCTTCAAACGAGGCTTGTGGAAAGTACTTAATGGTAGGCTGTAGTTCTGCTCCTGGCATTGCTGAAGTCCATCCAATAGATGGTGATCGTCAGATACGGTCATCTGCCTACTAAAAATATACCTCTCACCCCCACTCCAACGGCATAAAAACTAACCAATTTTTTTGGTAGTTCGTAAATTCATGGTGCAATATATTCCAGTCATAATAATATATTATAATGCAAGTACTAGCAACTAATTAGCTTCCATATGTTTTTATATCCACAGTGCACAGGTTCCTAAAAAAAGAAAAATTTCCTTCTTTCATAAAGCCCGTGCATTATTTTGCTCGTGTAGTCAAAAACATGTTTGATTGATTTTAGGTGTCGGCATCGCTGTACATGGCGTGGCTAGAGGTCCTCAGCCGAGATTTGCCGCCCGTGTTATTCGTACGCGGCAACGACTCCTGTGTGTTGGACGCGTAAAGTGAAAGATTATTCCGATGACGTCACTTCAACAAATGTAGGGTTTGCACAAAAAATAGACAAAATATATTGTATAAGGATTGCGAAACCCAGTACCGAACGACAAGATATTGCTATCGGAGGTTGCAGTTTAAGCGGCAGGCTCGTCTGTGAAAGTAAGCGACTTCGAGATGCCCATGGGCTTCTAATGACGTCTGAGACGTAACCTAGGTTAAATAACCGCCATGCATCCAACATACAAATTAAAAAGTCGGTCGAATGTAAAAACTTGATTTAAGAAATGGTGCAGGATCCCGGTGAAAAGTATAAATTCGCACACAAAGGGAATTTTAATTAAATTATTCATATGACGTATTATAAGTATATATAGTTTATGTATAAGATTTATTTAAAAAAAAAACTAATTCAAATAGAATAAACAAAATCAGTAAATATAATAGAAGTTCTTTTTATTTCACACATATTTCACAAGGGCATCATTTTCATTTAAAAAAAAAAAACCTATTTACAGTTACAAGAATCAACAGTCGTTCCAGATTAACAATTTAATTATTATTATTTTAAACTCCTAAATAATACAATAAAGTGAAATTTGTTTAAAACTATTCAATAGTGGATGTTTATAGCGATGGTACATATCGGCTGCGGTACAAATGAGGCGGTCAGCGCAAAAGTGGCCTAACCTTATAATAGTTAGTATGGAGATTGAATGAGGTTGGAATTTACTTTTACACTGCTTCGTAGGCAAAAACAATACGCGCAAAAATAATGTTTACAAAGCCATCTGTTCTCTATGGGTGGGACTAGGAAAAGGTCGGTTTTGCATCAAAATTTATTATCACTACATAGTATAAAACAAAGTCGCTTTCTCTGTCCCTATATATAGGGGATGTATGCTTAAATCTTTAAAACTACGCAACGGATTTTGATGCGGTTTTTTTAATAGATAGAGTGATTGAAGAGGAAGGTTTATATGTGTAATAACATCCATTAAATAGTGGAGAAATCAATAATAAATTACAGTTTCCTAAGCGAAGCGAGGGCGGGCCGCTAGTGTTTTAAATAAATTGCACGAATTCGAAAGATTGTGGATTAGGCCACTTTTGCACTGACGGTCTCAAATGTTGGCGCGCCCGAATGTGCCCGCTCGCTGCGAATGCGCTCGCCTTGTACGCACGCGCACGTAAGCGGTGTAACACGATACATCAATCAGAATTAATTACAACAATACAAATATTTAACGTGCACTCGCAACACAACAAGGGCCGGCCGAGTCGACGCTTCTCGACGATTCGAACGCTCATCGCTCGAACAAGAGAGATTCAACAAATCTGCTCAGGGGAAACCGTGCTTGTTCTGTGTGACGTCAGCACGGGCGACCGAAATAAGAACACGAATGACCTTGGGCCGTCAAATGTCACTTCATAAGTACGATTTGCAAAAAAATATATATATTTACATGCTCCTTAGTTGAAATTAGAATAAATATATTAAATCCGCGTTTGCGATTTAGAATAAAGTCATAAAATTTTATTTAAATATTTTATAATCCAACATGGCGAATGGTTAATCCTGTTCTTATTTTGATCGCACAGTATACCGATATGTCAGTTGCGCAAGGACGGTTTTTTTTATATATACATACATATAAAGAGCAATACTCTGATAGTGATTTCGAAGTGTTCCTACAATCATACGGAAAATTAATAATTTGTTGCAATCAAATATATTACATTCACTATTATATGCATTATTGTTTTTGCTTACAGTACCTTATAGTTTATTTGTTTACGTTTAGCTATATCGAATGTAACTAAATTGGCTAAGATCCCACTGTTCGAGTGCTGCTTGTGAAATTTTAGAGCACATTAACATTACTCAGTCTATATTTATATAAAATTTAAATATTAGTAATAATTCGTAACCGTACTTCGACATGATGCGATGGGACAAACTTGCATGTGATGAACTCAACGACACATTCCGGGTGCTATATAATGCGAGCTTGTATTGAAACGGCGTGTGGGCACAGGGGACCCGGCGGGGGCCCACCAGCACCGGACTACACTATCACACGTTCTTCACGTTCTCAATGCTGTCATAACTAAAGATACCAACATTTAAGAACCCTTTTGTACAGAGTACCGTTGGCATAAGCACCATCTTACAATTGTACTTTCTGTTCAGCGATTCTGAAACACTGGACAACGAAATGAAAAGAGTAGAACAATTACATTTTTAATTTAATATTAATCCATTTTGTACCTTATTATAAAAACGATAAATCAAATCTTATATATGTTTTATTTTGTATTAGTTTTGTGTACAACAATTAAATTAACTAGATTGTTTCTCGGACGCTACACGTAATTTTTGTTGCGTAAGATAGTTCTAAAATGGCCTATTTTAACAGCATCCAGACCAGGTAATGTTTTGTTACAATGTTCAGTGACGTCAACAACAAAATGTTCACGCACGCGAATAAACAATTTTACACATACTACATACATACAAAACTCACACAGCCATACACTATTTACGTATTAATAAATAAAATAATAATCATTAAAATTAATTATGGAAAGATTTTTGGTTACAAAGAATTCATAATATGCAAGGTAAAATACTTGAATTACGAGGTTTGTTTACCGAGACCCGATATTGTGGTTGCGGGTGTGCGGGTGTGCTCCCGCTATCCTAGTGAACACATCTCTTTGCCACCAGAGACACTGTAGCGGAACTGCCAGACCACGGGATACTGTCGGTTCCTTTCTGTGTGTAACAGAACGTGTGCACTATTCAATTAACTATTAGACGGTAGTTGACGCAAATATTTACAAATAACACATAACGTGATCACGAGAACTGAGTAATCGATACGTCGCGAACTGTGTAACGTTCATAATTAACGCGAGGTTAGACCATGGGGGGTGGGGGGGCGCGGGACGGGCAGGCGGCGGCCGCGACCTTCCTTATTCGGACTCCTCATCGTTCTCATCGTCGAAGCCAGTCAGATCGGCAGATTCTAAATATCCATTAATAACCTGGAAAATAATAAAAATTACATAATAAAAATAACAGCTCGACCCTGCCAAGACTGTGCGGAATCGTGTGAATAAAACTTCATACTAAGTCAGACAATGGGAAATTTATTGTTGACAAATAATTTTCTTTGTTTATCTTTTAAGCACAGAAAATATATTAATAATTATACGTCTTGATGTTAAAGCGTATTGTAAGCTCGCGCAGATTACATTTAATTTGGGAGTAATCAGTGAACACCCTGTATATATTATGATTACTTCTCAATCTTAAACATTATTTGGACTTTTTGGCGGGAACGCGTGTAGTGAGTTGTGTGAATTGTTTTATTTTGTCTATTTAGTGTTTCTTCAGGTTTAAATGTGTAATAACGATAGTTTATTAAATCTTTAATATCTGTAAAAGTGCACAAATGTGGGAAAATGAAACAAAACCACTAGTCGTAACTTCTCGGGATCCTGTCGTAAAAGTCCACTGAAAAAATCTCAGTAAATGACCACCATTTTACTGAGATTATATTTCAACCCATATCATTTCATTTAATTTCATTCCAATTGAATAATGTCTCAAATTATCATCTTCATTTCGTTTCACTCCATATTATCATTTTTCATAAAGTGAAGAATATAAATTAAAATAAGACATGACTTTAAGGTCTTAGTTACCAGGTCATAAAATCCATTAAAAAAAACATTATTTTGCCATTTAGGTGGGATAAATTAAGAATTACAGTGAAAACGAGGTTGGTGTGGATAAGAAAACGAGGGTAGGTGACTCACCGCGTACTCGAGGAGGGCGAGATGACAGAACACGTACTGGTCGGGCATCTGTATGGAGTGCGCGCGCTGCGACCGGATGCGCTCCACCGTGCCGCGCACGTCCGCCGCGCCCTCCGCCTCCAGCCGCGCCGCGCACGTGTCCAGCGTCAGGAACGTGCCTGCAACCCACGCACCCGTCACTCGTGCGTCACGCACCCGTCACTCGCCCGTCACGCACCCGTCACGCACCCGTCACGCGCACGTCACTCACCTGTCCGTCCGATGCCGGCCGAGCAGTGGACGACGATAGGTGGCCCTTTGCTGTGTCCGGCCCACGCGTCTCCCAACCTATAAAACGTTCAACCATATAAATATACATATATCGAGACATCAACTGTTGTACGTTTTTTTCGCTTTTTTTAAAACAAAATATATATTTTTTTACACTATTTTCCATTTAAATTTATTAAAATTTATTTTCTATTTTTAGTTGATTTTTAATATTGAATTATTATCGGTCCTCGATAAATCTACAAAGTTTGAATGAAATCTGGCCGTTTAATTAAAGTGGGTCAAAATCGCGTCGAAAGGAGTCAGTTACAAACATACAAACATACATACAAGTGAAGCTAATATAAAGCGTGTAAAAAACTAGACTAACTCGGCGAGTCCTCGTTGTTGCGCGCGGCGCACGAGCTGCATGAACCGCAGCACTGGGAGCGCGCGCGCCCCCGCCGCCCCGCCGCCCCCGCCGCCGCCCGGCACGCCGTAGTCCGGCCAGCGCGTGTACTGGCCGTGCCACACGCGCCGCACCTGCTCCGTGCGCAGCTCCGTCAGCACCAGCGAGCTGATCGTGTAGTCGTCGTGCTGGATCACGTCCTCGGCGAGCACGGCGTAGGGCCCGTGCTGCTGCCTGGCGCCGGCCGCCGCGGGCCAGTACTGCCCGCACTTGACGCGCCCGCGCTCCATCACGCGCGTGGTCATCACTATCACGACGGTGCCCTGCTCCCACACCATGCGCCAAAAGTCGCCGAACGTCTTCGGTAGAGGACCTGTGATTATTTATCCAAACTTTAGTTAGCCTTAAAACTTAACTGATTAATAATTATTATACTACTTTGTATTGCGAAATTTTCTAATAAATAAGAAAGTCGTAGAAATATTCATGTACATTTTAAATGAATATGAAATGAAAAACTGGCTTTAAATGTATTACATATATTATTTTATATTATAATTTAGCTTTAATTCAATCCATTCATCTCTCTAGACTTCGAAACCCATCGCTGCGTAAAATGCTTACTGGGCAGGTTATGTATGTATCTTAAATATCTAACATTTATTTCAAAAACAAGTACTAAGAACAATAAATATTACTGTCCTAAATTGATTAATAAACAAGTCTTTGTCCGTTTGTATCGATATCGCTTTCAAACTACCCGACCGATTAAGTTTGACACTCGACCAAATTATGAAATAGAGAAAGTTTAGCTTTTTTTTGTTTTAGCCTAACTATTCTAGTAAACCCGAAGGATTATATTAGCTTCACCGACTAATAGGCGAGCTCATGGGATTTAACCTAGCGAATTTGCTAACACTAGCAGCCCTAGCAAGAGCCGTGCTTCGCAGAATCAACCACCGGATCGGAAACGCGACCCACTGAGAAGATCCGACGAGAAACTCAGTGGGCTTAATACACGTACCCTGTGTACAAATGTAGGCGTTCTTCTGTTTGTAACCGTCGACGTAGTTAGCGTTGATGTAGTCCGTGGTGGGGTCGTCCGGGTCGGTCTGCGAGAGCAGCACGCGCGAGTGGTCGTAGCACAGCACGTCCGTATAGCGGTTCTTGGCTAGGTTGCTCGGCAACCTGGAAAAATTAATGTTTGCACAGCGGTCAGCGACCCGACCGGAGTCGAGAATTTTCATAAGGACGTTTCGCATTCGAGCTCTGGGCTTGCTTTTCATGATGATGTCGATGTGGGAACATTTTAACTTTAAATTTTTTTTTAATATGTTTTTTTTATTGCCCTTGTGGGCAGACGAGCATACGGCCCACCTGATGGTGAGTGGTTATCGTCGCCCATGGACTTCAACAATGTCAGGGGCAGAGCCACGCCGCTGCCTTGCCTACCGTTAAGTACTCTCCACAAGCCTCGTTTGAAGAAGGACATGTCATAACGCTCGGGAAACACCGTGGAGCTCATTCCAAAGCTGGATGGTACGTGGCAAAAAAGATCTCTGGATCAAGTGTATGGTAAACCGGTCGCATTCTGACAGAGGGTTGTACAAGAGTGGAAGGGAACATACTTGGCGTTGTGGAAGGTTCCGAGGAGCGGGCGGGAACATATGTCTTCGTACTAACCGGGTGGTACGTGGCAAAAAAGATCTCTGGATCAAGTGTATGGTAAAGCGGTCGCATTCTGACAGAATCCTATATAGTGCAGTAGAAGTGGAGGGAAACATACTTGGCGTTGTGGAAGGTCCGACGGGCGGGCGGGACCGTATCTCGTCGTACTAGCCAGATGGTACGTGGCAAAAAAGATCTCTGGATCAACCGTATGGTAAAGCGGTCGTATTCTGAGAGAGGGTCGTACAAAAGTGGAGAGGGACATACTTGGCGTTGTGGAAGGTTCCGACGGGCGGGCGGGACCGTATCTCGTCGTACTCTGCGACGAGGCCCCGGCGCCGCACGAGCCGCAGGCGGGCCAGCAGCGCCGCCGGCGTCTCCCCCGCGCCGCCCGCGCCCCCCGCCGCGCACTCCTCGTCCGACAGCCCGGGGGACAGCTCGCCCGACGACCACGTGCCGCGCGCTGCAACCACAACACTGAACGATCAATACACACTAGTGGTCAGTCACCCGGTGGTCGAAATTCGACTATAATTAATTGAAATTTTAAGTTTTTAATACGCTTTTATTAGATTCAGACGTATGTATGTTTGTAACGGAATCTTTGAACATGACACGCTTTTTTACAATAAAATTTTTTTTTTCCTAACTCTATTTTTTAATTAAAATTTATTAAAATTTATTTTTTATTTTTTAGTTGGATTTTCTATAAAAGCGTATTTTGTTACATTTTTTTTAAACTATTATTTATTTCAGAATTCTATTGTCAAAGAATTATTATATTTAACTACTAGCGACCCGCCCTCGCTTCGCTTCGGAAACATTAAATTTTATTATTGAATAGTCGAGTCCTGCGATGTTACCCGCGGTTATTGTCGTATCGCGGGTGACGCCGCGGGGCGAAGCAAGTCTAAAAAAAGTAGCCTAAGTTACTCCTTATACCATCAGCTACCTGTCAGTGAAAGTCAATTCAATTTCAAACGTTTGCACCATAAAACACTACATGACGTGTAACTTACTCAACACATAAAGCGCTATCAAAAGCATTGCGAAACTGCGACCAAACTAATAACAATTTATTTCAAGAATAACATTTTATGCGCCCGCACACGAGTCGAGCTCGTAAAACATACATGAATAAAATGATAAATCGTAATCGATGTAGCGATACGGCCGCCGCCCATCTTGAGACATGAGGTCAAACTCCCAAATGTGTCGATGCCTTGACGTCACAAAATGTTACGTAATCGGCCTGTGTAACGATCCTTATTTTAGTCAATTTAAAACCGACCTTATTTCATACAATACGTGGTTTTTTTTCGCTATCTATTCACTGGTAGCCTAATGGACATTCTAGCTACGTCCGGACGGGTAGATGAGCTCTCGAGCTCAACCTGAGTTTCCTAAAAAAAATTTTTTTTTTATTGAAGATTACTGGTGGCCCGAAGGCCTTTCCAGTTTCACCAGGACAGATGGGCGAGCAAAGGCTCAGCCAGGAGGGGTAGAATTTGCTAACAACTGCCCGAGCGCCTCCAAAGGAGACCTAACAACTCAAGAGCAATTCGTTTCCTAACATTAACCCCCTAGTAAGAGCAGTGCTAGCAGAACCTCAACACTTGTGCCGCCACGTGTTCATTGCGTTTCAGATTAATATTTCGTATGGTATAAATATAGCTTTATTGTTCTCCGCGTACAATAACGATGAACATTTCAAGCGCGCAGTTAAATTATAAATACACACACATTACGCACGGGACAAGGTCACCGGCCAACATTGACGGGTTCGACGTATGACCTACGAAGATTAATTAAAAAAAAAAAGTTGAGACAAACAATTTTTTTTAATAAACACTACATGTGTCCCTGGTTTGGCAGATAGATGTTTTACGCTCACGTTGGGTTGTGATTTTTTTGTTGTACCGCCACTTTTATTTATTTAGACTTGTCGACGAGTGAGTCGAGACCAGTGTCATTAGCGCAAGTTTTTTAACGTTCTCGATAGCGTAAAAGTTAACTCTAATTTGTATGGAGTTGGAACATTTGTCTACGTTTGCCGCTAGGTGCGCTGTTCCAATTGCATTTGAGTTAACTTTTACGCTATCGAGAACGTTAAAAAACTCGCACTAAGCACACAGCTTAGACATCAACAATACAAATTCAGCCACCCGCTTTGAGACGAGTTATTTAAATTTTACAGTACAACGACTGACACATCCTTCCAACTGAAACGCATTAAACCGCNTGGAACATTTGTCTACGTTTGCCGCTAGGTGCGCTGTTCCAATTGCATTTGAGTTAACTTTTACGCTATCGAGAACGTTAAAAAACTCGCACTAAGCACACAGCTTAGACATCAACAATACAAATTCAGCCACCCGCTTTGAGACGAGTTATTTAAATTTTACAGTACAACGACTGACACATCCTTCCAACTGAAACGCATTAAACCGCAGAAATAAATATTTATTTATATAAAAAAAAACAAAGAGTAAACAGTCGAAAATTACCGATATTTCTTATAGAGATCTGCAATATAAGTAACACAACACTTCCAATTTTATATTTATTCGACTCTTAAGCAATTATTTTTTAAGCAAATATAAACCTACCAGAATTATTCTTGACTTCACACATTTAAAAGAACATACTTAAAAAAAGTAAATAAATCAGTGAAATGTCAATGACAAATACTGACAGCTGTCTTTTATGATGCTAAGAACTCTATTATCAAACTTAAATAAGTTGTATTCACTGATTTTAAATACTATGAAAAAAAAAGATTAATGTATCCGTAAATTTCATTTCGAAGTTCAAGTATGTACTTTTGGAGAATATTTATGGAAATAAATGACGTATTAATATTATTATAATATGCTTCGTTTATTAAGTAAAACTTTGATTTTCGCTAACATTATTACTCTTCTTCTATATCGTTCCCTCACTACTGAGGATCGCGACCACATGCGATGTACTTCCAGTGCGCCCGATCATGGGTGGCATGGACTGCATGGTACAGACTACCACCGAGTGCTTCTCTTGCTAGATCTGACCATCTGGCTGGTGTTCTGCCCACGGCGCTCTAATTCATGTTTGGGAGACCGCATGTGTCCGAAGAAACTCATAACACGTTCCCGGCAGATGGAAGAGAGCCTTTTTCGTATGTCTAGCTGCCTTAGAATGGACTCGTTTGTTCGCATGGCAGTCCACGGTATTCGCAGCATCCTCCGCCACACCCACATTTCAAAAGCATCGATCTTTTTGATATCCCGGCTTTTTACATTACATTATTACTACATTTTTTTTACTTTTTTTTCTTTTTAATTTTTTTTACTTTACTTACTTTTTACATTACATTATTACTATTATTATTTTACATAACATTATTAGGATAACAATTATTTTCAAATTCAACTTTGATTTTCGCTAACATTATTAGGATAACAATTATTTTCAAATTCAACTTCCCGTGACGTGCTGTAATATTTAGCCGCAAATTTAGTCTCTAAAAAATGCACCATGGAAGAGTCATCATCATCATTCTCCTGCCCTTCTCCCAGTCACCTGGGGTCGGCGCAACATGTTTTCTCCTTCTATGCTCCTCTATCATATAACATTTCTTCGCTCACTCCCCTCTTACACATATCGTCTTTCACGCAATTATATATCAATTACGGAAGAATATATAACCTATATATAACCCTAAGCTCTAAAATGGTTACGTCACTCGTACACCGAAGATGTGGGTGTACATCTGTGGTAATCTGATGCACAGATCAAAGGCACGAACACGCCCACAGATTACCGCCAACAATAGACGAGACGTATCGATATATGTATATCCATATCAGTCGGTATAATAAAGTGTCGATGTATTTCAAGAATTATCATTTTCCGTGAACATTACGTATTTTATATTCGTTTAGGGAGCGGTCCCATTACAACCTATATTATTATAAAATATATGTGTACAGAAAAACCTTTAAAAACTCTTTAGTTTTAAAAATAGATTTTTCTTAGACGGAATCGCTCACCTGTCTGTCATTAAGTAAAAAGAGAGTTCAGTATTGTATAGCTTAGCAATACTGTTTAAAAAAATAATTAAAAGTTATTAAGAGCTTTAAATGTTAGTTTCTTAATATATCACAGAAAACGCAATTAAGTCTTTTATTAATTATTCATTCTGAAGTATTCCATAATATTGAACTATATTACATATTTATAAAAACTACTGATATTATTAATAATACGGTGAAAAATAAAAACGTTAACCCTTTGACTGCCACGTAGGTCACTAGTGTCCTACGGTCCTAGATGTGCTCCGCACTAAACGCTTCACTCTCCCCCCCTTTGCCTTTTCATGTGTTCTGTCTCATGCGAGGCTCGGACGTGGGAAAAAGAAGAAAAAGTAAGAGAGAGAGAGAGTAACAGAAAAATCTACATAATTACTGCAGTGCGCTGCGTAGGGCACCGGTGACCTACATGGCGGTCAAATGGTTTTTAGTTAAATTGTGTACTCACTGCTTATGTCTATATCATCCTCGTCGCCGGAGTTAATGTGTCTGCTTTTAGTATCGCCGTTATACCCATGCGAGTGCCTGAAACATTTAATTAACGTAATATTATTATATATAAATTACTTGTGTTTATATCGATGTGTTTACTAGCACAGTGCAGTCGTCCACGTAAAATTCAATAGAAATGTATGCAGTAATGACTTTCCGAAAGGATGTGAACTTTCAAGACGTCTTTCTCAAAGTTGAATGTCAATTTAACTAATAAATGAACAGCGATGAATAACTTCATTTTAAGGTATTTTCACATTATGTGCTTTGAAAATTTTATTACTATAATAATATCTACATTATCAGTTAACAAAACTTAATTGTATCGTTCCGAAGATCTACCCGGTAACCCAATTCTCATGTTTCTTATGAAAATATTTGATCGATTTCTAAGATTGAAAAAACATTTAATCTTCAGACGTTCGAATCGAATTAGGACATATTACTAGTGAATGTCTTAATTTGGCGTAGCACATATCGATATTTTTAACTAAAGGGCTAACGTTGGGCTAATAATGGGCGCATGTTACATATATTTGTTCCGGATTGTAGAATAATTGAACAAATGACTAATAGCCCTTAATATAAAGCTGAATATCGCATATACCATCAAAAACTATAATCAATTTTAATAATAGCTGCAAATCCTGATGACAATTTAAATGGCAATTTAATTTTAATTATCACACTGAATATTAAGAAGTTTTTTAAGATTAATTATCTAATTTATTTTTACACTGAAGATTTTAATACAATACGAATTATAAATGTTTTATCAGTATCTTAATATTTCCTAACCTTTATTTCGTCACACAAACGTTTATTCCTAAGTAAACAACATATTTTGCTCATTCTACGAGTTAATATGGAGAAGCGCGCCAGTCTGTTAGTGAAAAATAGTCCCTAATGCTTAATCATTAAAGTCGGGCGACACAAAAAAAAGATCTAATCTGAATAGTTGTTACCTCAAAGGGCTCGGGTCGCACGTGTACGGCGGGTCGCCGCTGATGTGCATTTTGGTCCCTGTATCTCCGAGTCTGACTGCGCGATCGCTTGTCATGTCACTCTGATGCTCTATTATACCTAAGCAAATACAAACAAGTCCAATAATGTTTTTAACAAAAAAAAAAGCAGCGTTATACTTTGAAACTTATAAAACTAATTGCTAAATACTATCAGACAAATATCTTTAAAAAAATAATTGTAATGTAACTAAGTACGTCATTTTTAATTTTTTATTGCTTAGATGGATGGACGAGCTCACAGCCCACCTGGTGTTAAGTGGTTACTGGAGCCCATAGACATCTAATACGTAAATGCGCCACCCACCTCGAGATATAAGTTCTAAGGTCTCAAGTATAGTTACGTCATTTCTAAGATATCTCAGCGCCCCTAGCGGCAAAGTTAAACGTTCCAACTCCATACAAATTTGAGTGAACTTTTACGCTATTGAGACCGTTAAAAAACTCGCACTAAGCACACTGAATCTGACTGAACAAGCACGCAAACAAGTGATTGCTAAGTTCGTCGCCATAATGGAATCAGCATTTTGTTTTTGCTATTAGAGGCAGACGATGTACGGCCCATCTGATGGGTAAATGGTCAACATCGGTCATAGACACTAGCAATATCAGAGAGACAGCCAAGTTGCCTAGTACTGAAGCATTGTATATTATTATTGTTGCCTCCAAGAATAACTCGCTGTTCAACTGGTGTAAAATGGTTACAGGGGTGAAAGTCTGCTCGTGTGAAACTAATGGGGCATCTACCCTACAGCTCACAGTATTAAAAGTTTCGCAAATTTATAATTTTTTTCAAGACATTCTGACTCAATCATGGAAGTCGTTCGTTAGCTCGTGTTAGGTATGTATCTGCTAATAATCTAAGGAGGTGATAGCCTATCTTTACTAAAATTTGATGACTGACATGATCGCATCACTCTATAGCAGGGGTTCCCAAACTTATTTTGTCTACTGCCTACTTTGAGAATAAATAATTTTTTAGCGCCCCCTTTTTTCGCCTACTTAAAAACGACTATAGCGAGATCTCAATCGGTGCCTAAGAGTCCTCCTAGATGAAATCACAAATCGCCTCCCAAGCCTCTACACAACGCCCCCATTTTTTTCTGGGTCTTTTACCGCCCCCCTTTAAGCCTACAGCGCCCACAAAGGGGCGTTATCGCCCACTTTGGGAAAGGCTACTCCTACTCTATAGGAATATGTATCAGACGTTTTAGCTATTAGGCCGCAACGAGTCTGCGTACGTGGCCTAACTCTGGTTCCTGTGCTAACTTGACACACGTACGTCACGTGGGGACAAAAGACGTGAGGGTTCATAAAATACACTCTAAAGATTACTTAAACGAAAGCCTAGTTACTAAGGCTATATTTTTTATTTATATACTCTCTATTAATTCTGTTGAACAGGCCGCAACTAAAGCATAATACAAACAAATCACGGTATTAATAATCGTAACACATAACGGGTAGGCACCACCACCTCGCCTATTTCTGCCGTGAAGCAGTAATGCGTTTCGGTTTGAAGGGTGGGGTAGCCGTTGTAACTATACTGAGATCTAAGAACTTATATCTCAAGGTGGGTGGTGCATTTACGTTGTAGATGTCTATGGGTTCCAGTAACCACTTGACACCAGGTGGACTGTGAGCTAGTCCACACATCTAAGCAATAAAAAAAAATTGTCAATGGTCTCTCTCCCTCTCCCAACGACTATCAATCAAACAACGACAAATAAATAAATTAGTTAGCGGTTTTATGGTTCTCCATACTAGTCATCTAAATAATCGAACTACATATTAATACATCAGTGGATGATAAAAAGTAAATAAATATTGGGACTTTTATTTATTTATTAGGTGAATAAGTAATTAGTTTTTGATTCGTTAATTAAGAATTATTTTTTGGATTGGCTAATTCTCAAATAATTCAATAATTGAGTCAAATAATTGGGTTTAAAAATCTATCATTCTACAATATATTTTTTAACTAACAGCTATACGATATAAATAAAAAATAGTAAAATAAGAACCGAGATACAAATCCCGACTAACACCGATAATAAGTCATCGTATATGACAGTTGTGCAAACGACTTATTTACATTATTAGAACGTGGGCGCAACCGTAAAAGATTGGGACTTCAGTCCATTATATTGTGGGCGGTGCTCAGAATTCGACCAATTCATTTGTCGATCAGGGCTACAAGAGAACAGACCTCAAAGTCGCTGATCCACCCTTTTAGGAATTAACTTTACGATCGCTTTAATAAATTAATTTATCTAATTTCCGCCAATTTTCTTAAAATTTGTAGTTAAGTCACTTCGATTCTGAAGGTGCGGTATGCTTACAATTGCCGAAAGCAGAATAACAATATACCAAATGAGGATAATATCGATGGATATAAAGACGTTATGACGCTAAGTACGGGAGCTCAGAGCCGTGTGACCCCCAACTTTTGAATAACATTCGGAAAAACAATTTTCATAGGCATTTATTACGTTCTTTTAATTCGACATGAAACGTCAATTTTAAATATGATGTATTTATTAATAAGTGTTCGCATAGTTTTCGAAATTCGACCATTATCACTGTTTTTTTTTTTGCTATATAAAAGATAATACTGAAGGAAATCGGTTAACAAAGGTACTGAGATGCTTTATGCCTCGTTATAAAAAATAGGTTTAATCTTCTAGTAATAAACCACTTATGTGACGTAAATAGCTTTTTTTTTTAGTAATAAAGTAATACGTAACATATCGTTATAGGACTTTTCCACGATTCTGACATGTCCCCCACTTCAAACGAAATGTCAAGTATTCTTCATATTCAGCAGAGGGTTCAGTTTCCTCGATATTATATTTATGAACGAAGGTAACCACTTGACATTTAACGTATAAGGCCAACGCACGTCCTTATGTATTCTATAAAAAGAACAGTTTCGATATTCTTTACAACTGCGTGAATTGGAACATCGGTTGAATCTTGAAGTCGTCGTGGCCTAAAGGATAAGACGTCCGGTGCATTCGTATCTAGCGAGCACCGGTGTTCGAATCTCAGGCGGGTACCAATTTTTCTAATGAAATACGTACTCAACAAATGTTCACGATTGACTTCCACGGTGAAGGGATAACATCGTGTAATAAAAATCAAACCCGCAAATTTCGTAATTTACGTAAATTACATAATTACTGGACCTGTTGAGTTCGCACGGGTAGGTACTACCACCCTCCTTATTTCTGCCGTGAAGCAGTAATGCGTTTCTGTTTGAAGGGTGGAGCAGCCGCTGTAACTATACTGAGACCTTAGAACTTATATTTAAGGTGGGTGGCGCATTTACGTTGTAGTTGTCTATGGGCTCCAATAACCACTTAACACCAGGTGGGTTGTAAGGTCGTCCACACATCTAAGCAATAAAAAAAATCGGTATCCAACAAAAGCATGTATTGTAACTTTGAAAGAACATACGAAGCGCAATTCCCTGTAAAATCTCACACGGGGTAGGTATTTATTATTGATGCACATACTTACCATTTTGCGGTTCGACGGGCGGTATGTGGTTACTGATTACATATTCATCGATAACGCCATCCAATTTAGAGTTCTGAATGTTGTTTATGTAAGAGTTTTTGCAATATTCCAACCTGTTAACAAAAAAAAAGAAACATATTGAACAAACGTCGTCGGATTCGATACTCGAGCAGGATAGAGAGGAATCGCATTACGGTTAACGTTCGTGTAATGCGATTCAAGACTCCTATGTCGGACTAAACAATGGCTTAGACAGAATGAGTACCAAAGCAAAGAGCAACACAAAGTTCACGTTTCCAAAACCAAGCTAAGCGTTTTTTTTGAAGTGTAACTTCTTCAGGCGCCTGAGGGTAAATTTTTTAAAGATGTAACGTCACGCAGGTATGCAACGGAAGTGTTGAAAATTTTTAATACAGCGCCATCTATGAGATTTTTTAATACTATGGTGCGTATGAAACCTCTTGTAGTGAATTTAAATTTAGGATTATACGTGACGTTAAAATCTCGATTCACAGAGGGCGCTACTTCATACTATAAAAGATGATTTACAATTATTTACTAATGACAAAATTTTACATATACTTAGACATTGAGGATAATTGTATTTAAATTTTTGAAGGCTTCATTTGTAACAAGTGTGAATTGCACACATATTTCTTTTTTTTTTACTGCCCTTATAGGCAGACGAGCACACGGCCCACCTGACGGTCAGTGGTTACCGTCGCCCATGGAATTCAGCAATGACAGGGGCAGAGCCAAGCCGCTACCTACCGCTTAGTACTCTCCACAAGCCTCTTTTAAAGAAGGACATGTAATAGCGCTCGGGAAACACAGTGGAGGGGAGCTCATTCCATAGCCGGATGGTACGTGGCAGATGGTGATCATTAATATATCCTAACAGTTTTTCGCGCCCAATGAATGAATTCAAAATTACTGTGATCGTTTTTAGGTGTCAAACCATCCCCCTCGACCGGGTTTGCGTAAACGGATTCGCCATCGTTAAAAAAAATGCCAAGCCATAGACTAATAAAATTATCTATTAGGACAATTAATTATAATTGAACTAAATCTTCCTCGTATGTCACACGCGAAAGTCATATTTTCGACCTCATTAAATCTCAATAAAACGTCATAATATATTAAACATTCCAAACTCATGTCGTGTTCCCCAAATGAACGATATTAATATTTATTGTTCTAGATGAGCGAAGGGAAGCGATAGCTGGCGACGTGACGCGATGTGACATTTAAAATGCAAAATCACAAGCAACGTATACATAACACTGAAGTATACTATATAGGTCTAGGATACATAATCATTAGCTTATCTAACAATTGTCAGGATTAAAGTAAGTAAAGCAGCAAATGTTTTATTAATTTTAATTACTAAATAACTCATTACATTTTTATTTATTAGCTTCGTCGTGTCCCTGTGATTTCTAATAATCATGGTTTTTGGTAACAACTTAGCATCTGCTAGATAACCTGCCTCTGTCTTCAACAGCAATTAAAAAAAAAAACAATAGACCGATACGTGGCGTCATATCGCATCGTGTCGTTTTGCAGATATTTTTTTTGTTGCTCTGATGGGTGGACGAGCTCACAGCCCACCTGCTGTTAAGTGGTTACTGGAGCCCATAGACATCTACAACGTAAATGCGCCACCCACCTTGAGATATAAGTTCTAAGGTCTCAAATATAGTTACAACGGCTGCCCCACCCTTCAAAACGAAACGCATTACTGCTTCACGGCAGAAATAGACAGGGCGGTGGTACCTACCCGCGCGGACTCACAAGAGGTCCTACCACCAGTAAAATTTATCGCTAGCGTAGTAAACACACATGGCTTTACACAAACAACGACAAACTACATAATGCATTTTCGATACGCAGTCACGCAAGTTGAACGTCGATAGGCGACATGCGATAAAACAAACGAAGACCAATTTTATATGTTTCCTGTTTTATATAAAAGACCTCAGGTGCACGGGAACGATACGTTTTGATTACGTATTACGTATGCTACACATTATGTGGGTCGACATTGTTCTGCAAAGAGAAGTTATATTCAGTTTATTTATTTATTTACTAGGTGACCCGGCGAACTTTGTTCCGCCTTAGAGCCAATAAATGAGCAGACTTTTGATTTTATCAAGGTCAATTTTTTATTTGTCCCGGCATGGCTTTCTTAATGATTACCTATCTCGGCACAATAAGCTAATAGAAACTCGAAACAAACACATCAACCGGTCAACTTCAAAATTCTCTTATAATTAATCATAGACTACATTACGTTTAGCTGTCAGTTGCGTTCTGTTATTCCATATTAGTTTAATTTTGTTATACCACGTTTTATGTCACGTCCCACGGGAACGCGATAAAAAGTGTCCTATGTCCTTCTCCTGGTTCTAAGCTACCTCCCCACCAATTTCCAGCCAAATCAGTTTAGCCGTTCTTGATTTATAAATAGTGTAACTAACACGACTTTCTTTTATATATATAAGATTTATATTTTGTGCTCTACGACCTGTTTTCGTTGAAATAGTTTATGGCAGACAGTGTGCTAGGGCTCTGGCATTGCTGGTGCTCTCTACCTTCGACAGCGAACAGAAAAAGCGGCACAATAAATGTATTTAGTGCGCTAATCATCAATAATTGTCGCTCTAATGCATTCATATTTCACACTTGTATTCCTGTTGGACAACGAAACATTTATGAGGAAACATTTCACAAATCCGACGAGTTTAAGCGAGGATTTTTATTCATATTCAAATTCATCTTTAAATTATCCTTTTACAGAACAATGCAGCACGATTGAACAGAAAATTAACGAGAACATTACGTCGAGATTCGGCTAAGCTATCTGATAAGCCCCTAGCGATCCAATCTCGATCCTTGTTCTTAATTAGATCCGAATCTCATAATAATGGTGAGATCTAATCGAAATCGAAATTAATTTTAGGAAAATCCATTCAGCTACACAAATATATTAGTGACGTGCCGTTCAAGTAAACTTTAACTGGTTGCCTTGGTTTGTGTTTGTACATGTGTCGCTGATACCTAGTACGCATCTATCGAATGCGAACCGAACCTATAGAATACAATTATTTTTCTCGTCGCTTGCTAGCACGTGTCGTTAGCTTTTACCGTAATCAGTAATAATTAACACTAAACATACCATAACGGGTCAAATGACAAATTTTGAAAATTTACATTGCAAATGCACGTATTATCTTATAACTTTTGCACATTTTTGACTTCATGACTTTTTCTTAACAATTAATCTACAGTTATATCGTACTATTTTTTGTTTGTTTTGTTTATTTTGAGTAATACTTGTCGTGTACCGTTATCTACCCGCTATGGTAGAAATAGGCACCAGTAAGTGTTGGTTTTTTTTTTCTCCTACCTAAGCTGGTAGCCTTGAGAGGCTATTCCAGCGTAACCTTAACTAGTAGGTGAGCTCACGGGGCTCAAACCTGACGACGTTACTAACACGAACCCTAGCAAGAGCCGTGCTTCGCAGAATCTACCACCGGATCGGAAGAGCGACCCACTGAGAAGATCCGGCGAGAACTCAGAGGGTTAATTTACTCGTCGAGCCCTTCGTCGCAAGCGACGGGTTCGACGAGAGCGGTGACCGGTGCTTGAAGTACCTAAAAGCACCGTTAGTGGATCGGGAGGATCCGAAATTACGTGTTTTGGGCGACGTCGACTGCTTTCCATTCTTTCCGCAGGATCGGGAATGTAGTTACCGGTGGCCACGATGAGAGGGTTCTCGTGTCGTGCCGCTTTATCGAAGTGGAAGTGTTGGTATGATTAGTGTTAAAATAGGAAAAAACTGTACGTCGTCGAAAAGCGGAAAACGTCTCGCGATCCAGTATCGATACTGATAATTTCTAAATCGATTTAAATCTCATACCAAGTGGTGTGATCAGTGTCGTGTAAGCCACCCAGTTGCTTGGGCAGGCTAGATCGCGGCACGTGCGCGCCAAGTTGCGGCGCGCTAACCGTGTGCACGCGTTCCCGTAACTTCTCTCTAACGAACAACCGAAGTATCCGGAAAGGAGCCTTGAACCAAAGCGGCGCCGTCACTATTAATACCTTCTTCAATTTGGCCGGATAACCACCCTGAGGACAAAACGAAACATTCAAAACAACACAACCAAAAAATACAAAAACAAAATACAATTTATCGCTAAAATATAATTAAACGAACTGAAAACGCAGGGAAGGTTATTGAAAATGAAAATAGAATAACTTTATTATGTAACCACCCACGCCCGTTTCCACCTATTGGAAGTGAAAGGACGACCGCAAATAAAACATGACGTCAAATCATTGAGCTACATCAAAGCCGCGACGGTGTATAACGCTATTAAATTAATGCCATCCCAAATTAGTGAGGAAATTCTCCAGCTACGTAAACGTTATTATTTTCTGCTTCATAAAGCAACGTGCTATTAGAAACACGTTGGCCGTCACGGGCGGGAAAATTACGTGGGCCGTTCGCCAAAACGACGCCATTCCTGGCGGGCGTCATGCGGCTCCGATAATTAACATTTTCACAACAACGCTGCTCTCGAGCAGTTGTCTCGCCAATACCGTAATATACAATAACAATAATATCATTAGCCTTCTAAGTGGGAGCAAACAGTCGCTCGACAACCAGAATGGAAGTTTTTAGTGCAAACCAGAGTAAAAAACTTTGAGAAGAAACGCTGCTCTGAAACTGATGCTCGATGTTTTTTTTTTTTTATTGCCTAAATGGGTAGACGAGCTCCCAGCCCACCTGGAGTTAAGTGGTTACTGGAGCCCATAGACATCTACAACGAAAATTCGCCAACCATGAATAAGTTCTAAGGTCTTAGTATAGTTACAACGGCTGCCCCACCCTTCAAACCTTCGATCAACAATAGTAACGATTGTTGATCGAAGCTTCAAACCGAAACGTATTACTGCTTCACGGCAGAAATAGGCGGGGTGGTGGTAAATACCCGTGCGGACTCACAAGAGGTCCTACCACCAGTAAAAAAGCACACCCGCCTTGTGCTATCTCTTACAACTATTGTAATGGTGTGCTCAACTGTTCCCAATGTGCACGAACGTTTAGGAATTAGATCGGCTATGTTAGCCACACACGAGCACACCGTGACAATTAGAAACGGAGTTGAAGTGGTCGCCGTGATCGAATTCGGATAAGGAGAGTAGTGGTAATATCAATTTCGTGTACATATTTTAAATAGCTCCCGCTTCAAATGATTCGGTCTATATTTATTTATTTATCTATTTATTTATTTATTTACTTACTAGTCACACAGTACACATCACAAGCTAAAAAGATACATAAAAACAATGGTAAAAAGAAACAAATATATATGAAGTAAAAGTACCAAGTAAGCTTAATCTAAAACAACGATAAATCAGTATTATACACTGAAAATAATGGCTTTATTATTCACGGGTAGGCCACTTTTAACGTTCAGGATATAATGTAATCTTAAGTTATGATTGAAACGTGTATGACCGTAATTCATAATGTTCCGATTTACATGATGTTAAAAAATTTACCATTTTTTTGTTTGGTGTGTCCAAAACTAAAACTTATGTTAGATTACACAAGTGGCAGTGTTTACTCTAAATCCCAGCAGATTGTAAAAAATCTAACAAAACCAAAAACTAAGTTATACTCTAGAATCCTAACCGATAAGACTTCAATTTCAAAAACAGAACAAGTGCTACTTACACAAGTAATTCTTCAAAAAGATAAAGACTAGCCTAAAATAAACTGTAAAGAACTGAAACATTTACTTCGGTTAAAATATTTCTTTTTTATCTTCTAGTATTCTAGCCTTTGGTGTATTTATTTTACACTGAAAAATATACATAATGTATAGACTTATATTCTTACTGATTTTTTTTCGACGGTTTTAATAATTTTTGTTATAAATACACTTCTTTACATTATTGTTTATTTATATTTAATATTTATTCCTCGTAAAGCCTAAGGGTTTAAACAGAGAGAAGAACATAATTAACAACCAAATTAACATTTCAAATTGAGAATTCAACCCTACGACTCTGGAGAGACGCATCTAGATCCGTGACGTCATTCACTGATGCCTATGAATACCACGAATCGAGCGGTTTTTTTTTTGCCCTTGTAGGCAGACGAGCATACGGCCCACCTGATGGTGAGTGGTTACCGTCGCCCATGAACTTCAGCAATGCCAGGAGCAGAGCCAAGCCGCTGCCTACCGCAATTCACTTAGCTTGGTGTTCACTTAGCTTTGCAATTTTTTCACTATAACTAGTGTAGCGTATTCAAAGACGAATCTCAGACAAGATTGAGGCATTAACGAAACGCGCGCCTAAGGCGGTCCGTGTTTGACTCAATTACTAATATGGGTCGAAGCACATCACGCCACTCCTTAATAGGTCACGCTACATTACACAGATGTTACCCAGCTATTAAGACACAAACTGATTAGCTGAAAGGCATCGCAGATTTCCACTAGACACGTCTATGCGGTTGGCGACGTTTTATCACGTTGACGTACCAATATGCTACCTAACCATTGCTAAACAATTATCCAGACCGTTAACAAACAAAGTTAACTTTTATTTATACAAATCTTTTTTTTTTTTTATTGCTTAGATGAGTGGACGAGCTCACAGCCCACCTGGTGTTAAGTGGTTACTGGAGCCCATAGACATCTACAACGTAAATGCGCCACCCATCTTGAGATATAAGTTCTAAGGGTCTCAATTATAGTTACAACGGCTGCCCCACCCTTCAAACCGAAACGCATTACTGCTTCACGGCAGAAATAGGCAGGGTGGTGGTACCTACCCGTGCGGACTCACAAGAGGTCCTACCACCAGTAATTACGCAAATTATAATTTTGCGGGTTTCATTTTTATTACACGATGTTATTCCTTCACCGTGGAAATCAATCGTGAACATTTGTTGAGTACGTATTTTATTAGAAAAATTGGTACCCGCCTGCGGGATTCGAACACCGGTGCATCGCTTCAACACGAATGGACCGGAGGCCACGACGACTTCAAAATCTCAAACTATTCAATGAGACTTATAATTTAAAACACTTAGAAATAAACGTTCTTAATATTATTTTGGTCATTAAGACAAATGCGAGGAGTCTGATTTCGCTATATACGATATCACGATACTGGTAAAGTACTTAGTTAAGTGTTCATCTTCAGTCCTGGTTCATTATGATCCGGATCACGTGCAATTTTAATTTAGAGCAACTATAACGAAACACTATGGAAATAAATACCATCAAATCTTTCGCATTAACGCTGTTGAAGCTTATGGATTAAGGGTGAGTTATATTTAGTAGTTATATGTACTTAACTACCCACCAGGTGGGCTGTTAAGACAATCCACCCATCTTTGCAATTAAGAACTTTGAATCGATATGATAATAACAAAAAGTTAGTTAAAATTGATTTTCTAGTTCAATTAACATAGTTAGCAAGTCAATTATGAAGTGAAATCAAAATGAAAACAATTCACGTTTATGTGAATAAGTGTATGATTAAATTATTTATCAATATTTTTTCTTGAACCTGGTCATAGGTATATTTCGAATTTTCAGTTGTTTAAGAAATTGAAAACAATTTGAAATCTATTTTCTTCTAAACGATCCGAGCAGTACTAATGATCGAACTCCATTCAAATATCAAATTCCGTTTTATTTTTGATATATGGATGTAGTTTCGCTATAATATTAACAGTGTAATATTAATTAGGTGCTTTATCTTCTACCTACAAGGGATCAAATGTTTCAAAGGAAATTTGGGGTGTGTAAGCAGTCTCGAGAACATTTATCCAAGGGTGAGAGGTCATTGCTCTCAGCTTTTAGCTCCCTACGCCTAATAAAACAATTATAGCTGCGGAATCCTTCTGCTCCGCATCGATGATAACATTTATTCAAAAAGTAAGACTTAAAATATTTGGTTAATCTAGAGAACGGGATTAAGCCGTTATTTTATTTTTTTATAACCTTGGGATGAGGAGCTGAAGATCCCTCCGGCAAATTCATCAAACCTCATAAACTCCACAGCGCGAATACTGACGCCATTTCAAGGTCGTGGAGTTTTAATTCACATAGTACGGTATTCATACGCGTGATTTTTTTTCGTTATGAAACACGAAATACGGTTACGTATAGAATACACCAAACTGGTACTAGGCTGCACTAAAAGTATCGGGAATGGAATATTTCCACTGTTCCTGTCATATTAAAATCTTTTTAATTGAAAACTCCTTGGTTTTAAAAATCGAATACCATTTATTTATTAAAAAAAGATTCTCGGTCTTGTCACGAGGTTTTATCAAACTTGTTTAGTCGTTGAGAAAATGGAATTGACTCGAGAAAATTCAAGAGCGATGATTTATTATGACTTTCGAAGTGGTTTAACACAAAAACAGTGTGTTGACCGGATGATTTCTGCATTTGGTGATGAAGCCCCATCCAAAACCACAATTTATCGCTGGTTTGCTGAGTTTCAACGTGGACGTGTCAAGCTCAGTGATGATCCCCGTCAAGGTCGTCCAAAAACTGCAGTCACCCAAGAAAACGTTGATGCTGTGCGTAAGCTGATTGAGGAAGATCGACATGTGACATACCGCGAAATTCAGGCAACTTTAGACATTGGCATGAGTCAAATACAAATAATCTTGCATGAACAATTAGATGTAAAAAAGTTGTTTTCCCGATGGATACCGCATTCGCTCTGTGAAGAGCAAAAAGCGGCTCGCGTTACTTGGTGCATCAGAACTCTCGAAAGATTCCACGCAGGATCCTCAAATGCTGTATCATTGTATCAGGTGACGAATCCTGGATATACGCGTACGAACCCGAAACAAAAAACCAGTCACGAGTTTGGGTGTTCGAAAATGAGTTAAAGCCAACAAAAATTGTTCGTTCACGGAGTGTTGCAAAAAAAATGGTGGCCATGTTTGTCTCCAAAACCGGCCATATTACGACTATTCCTCTTGAGGGACAAAAAACGGTTAATGCAGAATGGTATGCTAGCATTTGTTTGCCACAGGTCGTTTCTAAACTCCGTAAAGAGAACTGCAACCGCCGCATCATCCT